GGGGATGCAGAATTATAAACTCTCACAAGATGAGAAACAGGCTTCTTTTTTTTGGAAATACTTTTTTTACCAAGAGCATCATTGCATTATTTTGCTTCGATCTTTGCAGAGAAGGGATCTACAAAATGTAGAAACCTGTTGCTGTAGACACAAACTTCCCTTGTGAAATTTTAGAAGTCCTCTCCATAAGTGGTTCTGACATCTCAAAAAGTGAGCAACGTTTTGACAGGAAGAGCTGGAAACATGCCAGTTTGCCCCATGCTTCAGGTGCAGTTAGTTCAGCCTGAATGTTTTGGAAAGAGAAAATCAGATGCTCAGTAGATCATTCAAAGCCGGCCCGTATTGACCTGAGCATTTAAGACTGTATTCATATAACCTAGCCTTATCTATCTAAAAATTAGTTACTAAATCTTAAGCTTTAGATATCTCATCTAGCTTTATCCTTTAGATAAAAGAGAGGATAGATATTTCAGAGTTGTGTCTAACATGAGTGAGATAAATGCTGGTTTTTTCCTGTAAAAATAAGTATTTCTTTAACTAATTTCATTAAATTTCCTCTATTTGTACAGGAAAGGTTCATTGCCCTTTAACAATAAGGGAGCAAGGCCCTAAAAATACAAAGAGGTCATAAGGCAGGTTATGCAGGGAGATGCTGATGGCTGTGGAAAAGCATTTTGACAGGGCTATCAAGCAGCCTGGAGCTAATGTCCAGCGTATGTCTGAAAAGACCAAGAAGTGGAAAAAAGAGCTATGTGCAATAAAATACAGAAGATGAATCAGGCTGTCTATGGCATTTGGCGACTAGCACAAGCCAGTAACAGAAAGAAAGCAAGACTTGGATATGTTTCCAAACCAAATCTGGAAGCCTAAGTAATAGGGTAAGGAAACAAAAATCCTTGTTGTCAAGTCAAGCTGTGGCATCCTCTATCACAAAACCAGCAGATAATATCATGCCAAAGCTACTTCCATGCGACAAACTCCCTCAGGGCACTCTTCACCTCCCTGTTCCTCAGGCTGTAGACCAGGGGGTTCAGCATGGGCACCACCAGCGAGTAAAACACAGCAAAGGTCTTGTCCGTGCCCAGAGTGTTGCTGGACCTTGGTCGGAAATTCAGGGCGAGGATAGACCCATGGAAGATGGTGACTCCAGCCAGGTGAGACGTGCAAGTGGAGAAGGCTTTGCGCCGGCCCTTAGCAGATCTGATCTTTGAGACGGCAGAGAGTATGAAGGAGTAGGAGACCAGGACGGCAAAGATGGTCACCATCTCCACCAGTCCTGCGAGGCCAAATATCAAAAGCCTGTTGATGTGGGTGTCAGAGCAGGAGAGCGCTAGAACAGGCATGATGTCGCAGTAGAAATGATCGATCTCAGCTGGTCCGCAGAAAGGCAGGCTGAAGGCGAAGTCTGTGTGCACTGAAGAGTGCAGCAGGCCAAGCACGTACGAACCAGTCACCAGCAGGACACAGATCCTGTGAGACATGATGGACGGGTAAAGTAAAGCGTTGCAGATGGCAATGTAGCGGTCGTACGCCATCGCAGCCAGAAGGAAGCACTCGGTGGTCCCAAAAGCTATGAAAACAAAAAGCTGGGTGGCACAGCCAGCTAGAGAGATTGTTTTCTTCTCCATCAGAAGGTTCATTAACGTTCTTGGTGCCACCACTGATGAGTAGCAAGCATCTAGGAGAGATAAATTGCTAAGGAAAAAGTACATGGGTGATTGAAGTTGACCGCTGCTCCTGATCAGCACAACCATGCCCAAGTTCCCTGCCAGTGTGGTGAAGTAAATGAAGAGGAACAGGACAAATAAAGGTGCTTGTAGTCGTGGATTGTCTGTCAGTCCCACAAGAGTCAACTCTGTAACTTGCTTGGTTTGATTTTCCTCGGCCATCTTCTTCAAAAGTACTGTGAGTTATGTTCATAGAGCCATCATAAAAATAATAGATAAATGGAGAGACTCAGCATCTGAAAAGGCCAACAATCCCCAGTGCCACTACTGGCTAACACTCTCATTATCAGAGATTTGTTTAATTTTAAATCAACATTCATCAAAAAACAATTGTGCAAGACAGTGGAAATTTTGTTTCAGTATCAGTTCCTCTGCCAAGTGTTCCATTTTTCATTCATTCTGATACATATATATTTTTATCTATTGTACACCCACAGTATATATCACACTTCAGTGTAACCCTCCCAAGTTCTAACAAAAAAGAGTAAAAAAAAGAGTTCAGTGATTCCTCTTCAAATTAATTATATTGATAATGAAAATGGGCTTTTCACAGAATTTGAACTAGAATATAACCTTTCAAATTTTAGGAAGCCTTCCCAGTGGGATTTATGTTAAAGATTGTTTTGCTTGCATTGCTGCAGAGAGAGAAAAATGGAAATCTCCCTTACTCTTCCATAACTTTTCATATCTGTTACTAATTTGGAGTTATGCTTTTACTTAGTGTATGAACTGGTGCAGTGATGACATTCGGGAGAAAAGAAACAGTTAAAAAAGAAAGCTGGCGCGACGAATCTTTGCCTTTATAACGTTTTTCTCTACCACCTCTTCAACCTAAAATTCACAAGTAGGAGTTTTTAATATATAGAAATACTGCAGTGCATCCTGACTTTTGATGACCGAGATCAGTGAGAAGTATGGAGCAGCCCTCCACAGTGGTGGTATAAGCAGCCACTGTAACATAAATATGTATTTAAAAAAAAACCCAAACAAAAAACAAAAAAAACAAGAAAAGAGTCTAGAAAATTGTTGGGTAAACTGGCCCCGCTTTTAGTCTATGATCATGGAAAATACTGTGCTGCTCATAAGGTTCCTGCCACTGTGACTAAATCTCTTTAGTGGAATTAATACAGCTTTCCCATCAGGAAAACCAGCAGGTAAATCAGTGTAAAACTGGCATTAATGTGCCTGGCTTATTTCATAATGAAAAATCAAATAAACTATGTACCAAGGTGGAAGAAGCGTGTGGGATTTAGCTGTATGTCAGAAAACTCAAGCACTGATTGATGCAACAACAGGGGCCAAAAACCCTGCAGAAAAACCTGTAGAATCACAGAATGACTCCAGATAGAATTCCTCAGCAATGCAGAGATAAAGATGTATTATACTTGGTATTTTATCTGGTAACTGGGATTATAACATTCAAAAAATTATAAAAAATTAGAACTGGTATTATAAGCTTAAAAAAAATCGTGTGCCATGTGATTTTCCTTCTCGTGTTCTATTGCTCTTACACGAAGGGAACAGCTTGTCTTGGTGTGTCTAATACAGATACAACCAAGAGCAACCGAATTCATCTTTACAGACCTCACCTCTGAAGGAGGAAGCCGTTCTCCTTCCCTTGTGCTTCCTGCAAGGAATTAGATGTTGTATTCTGCAAGGATATTATATATCCCCTTAAAATTATATATCACCTTAAAGTTACAGCTATAAAACAAATCTGGATGGCCTCTTTTCCTTACCAGTTGAGGTCTTGTGTCTTACTTCTTCCTTACTTCCCATTAATTCATGGCAGATTGGGAGGACACTTGTATGTTCGGTCTGTCCAGCCTGCCTGGTTTAATTGCTTTTTAATGCTGTTGTCTCTAATCCACTGAGATTTCCAAGGTGCTTTTGTTGAGAAGTGTTTTGCAAAACTTCCTTTGAGAGAAATGTAATTATTTTTATATTTCTCTGTCATACATGTATGTTTGACATACATGTATGTATATCACACATATACCTATATATGTATGTCAGAGGAATTAAAAAACAAAATAAAATAAACAAAATAAGTAAAATAAAGTAAAATATAATAAAATAGAAAATATAACTGCTCTTATGAGTGTAGTGGCTCAAAAAGGCTCAGACAGGCTGCATGGCTTCATCTCTCAATTTTAGCTATCCATAAAATACGTACGTGCACACAAATCTCCATTGCTGGGAGAAAAACAGGCATTTCTGGGGTGTGATCCATGTGATTTGCTCTAGAGATTGGTCTTGCAACAGAGTGAATTACACACAGGGGTGCCTATTTCTTGGGGGTGCAAGAAAATATCAACTGGGTGGAAAATTTACTTGAGCAAGAACATAGTTTACCCCACCTTTGAAGTTGGATATTTGTATTTTTGACCTGAAGTTATTTGTTTCTTAATAATATGACAGAGATACCTTCAGGGTATCTGTATCGATCTCCTTTCCACAACTTCTTGTTGTATTATACAGAAAGTCTATTTCTTAATTCTCTTTAAAGGGCTGGGCAATACAGCATCAATGGTTCAATAAATGGTGAAACCGCTGTTATTGACCCAATGGGTGATGAAGTTATTTCCATTTGCACACCATCTGAGAAGCAGCTTCAGGAACAGCAGAGGTGAGGCTCAAATCGCCCAGAGGTGTCCAGGAAAATCAGCACCAACAATCACTGTGATATCTGGAAGGATGAAACACCTTGAACTCAACCTACGACTTTACTTGCAGGAACCAGATTTTTGGTGAAAGAGCCTTATTTTTGTGTCTTATTCTGAGTGCCAAGCCACAACCCAACTGATCTAGTGGAAAGTGTACCTGCCCATGGCAGGGAGGTTGGAACTAGATGATCTTGAAGGTCCCTTCCAACCCAAACCATTCTATGATTCTATGATTAAAACATATGAATATATAAAGAAAGGCACCAATTATTTTAAAAATGTTGATAACTTTTTCTCATAAGTAGATCCCTTATTTATTTCCATGCTGGACTTTTTTCATAGAATCATATGACTTTTTTCTTCAGTATTATTTTTTCTTAATGGGATCTGGGGCCAAAATGCTTGATGGGCTGTGTACAGCCATTGCAGCCATTGCATCCCTCTGGGGTAAGGACAGTACTTAGGACCAGTTGAACATGACGAGCTGGTTATTTCCCCTTCTGAAGTCACTCTGCCTTTTTCCTGCAGCAAACTCACCAAAAACCCACCTGATTCCATATCACAGCTTCCCTGAATGCCACTGGATGCCCACCTTTACAATAGAGCGATGTCTATTGTCTACACCCTGGCTTATGACCGGCACGTAGCCATCTCCAACCCACTGCTCTACTCTGCTGCCATGTCTAAGAACCTGTGTATGGGGCTGGTGGCTGCTTCCTACCTCAGCAGCTTTGCTAACTCCACCCTCATTACCAGCCGCACATTTTCCCTCAGCTTTTGCTACGCCAATGTCATCGATGACTTCTGCAACATGTGAAGCTCTCCTGCAACGTGACAGACAGCTACCAGGCAATTCTGTATTTCATCCTGACTTCCAACGTCATCCTCCTCTCCACGCTCATCCTCACCTCCTACGCCTCCATCCTGGCTGCTGTCTTGAAGATTCATTCGGCTGAGGGGCAGCACAAAACCTTCTCCACCTGTGCCGCCCATGTCATTGCCATCACCCTCTACTACGGTTCCATCCTCTTCATTTATGCCTGGACCAGCTCCACATATGTCCTTAGGAAGGAAAAGGTGGTCTTTGTGTTTTACATAGTGATGATCCCCATGCTGAACGCCTTCATCTACAGCCTGAGGAATCAGGAGGTGAAGGAGGCTCTGAAGAGACTGGTGAAGAGACAGACAGCTTCTTAACAAGAGAAAAATAGGGATTGTGTCCCCAAAGATGCCTATGGCAAGAAGTGTACCTATCTTTTCTTGTTTGTGTTTTCATTTGTTGCTTTTCACAACAGGTGCAGGAGGATGCAACACAGAAACATAAGCACTTCTGATCCTGAAGTGCTTCCTGATGGACAGGAGATGTCACTGTGCAGACAGACCTCCTCTCCTTCACACCTCTCCCCATTTATAACTTATATCTGCTATAAAATGGCATCTTAGCAGTGGCTGGCGTCATTTTTGTACATCAGCTTCTTCACTCTGTGCTTTATATGAATTAAATATTCCTTGCTTATGCCCAAACCAGTAGCTGAGGTGGAGCTCCATGTATCATGAGGTAACATGCCTCTGCTCCTGAGCTGTCCCAGTTTTTTCTCACTGTGCTGTATTGCCTCACATAAACATACTTTTCACAGTCCTAGACTGTTTTCCCAGTGAAACGTTCACACCGGTGTGGATAGAGTGGGTCAGATTGGAAGAACCAATGTCAAGAAGCTCAGAGGCATCCAGGATTGAGTTCAGTTGCCTGAACGTAGACTATTAACACCTTGGAGATGCCCTCAGGTCTCCCTCTGAGCTTTCAGATGTCATTCCAGAAAGACCCAACTCTTCTGAAGGTTGCATGGCATATGTGCCAAAGGCATGTCGATGTCCTTGGTGCTTCAGGACAGAGCAAATGCTGTCAGATTTCTGCATGAAGGCAATCAAACCAAGATCTGGCCTAGGGAACTTCACTGCATCTTGCTCCTTTCCTGCAACTTCAGCCAAAGTTTCCAGCACCACTTGTAGGAAAACATGCAAAACAGGTGAAGTGGTTTCCTAGTTATTAAAGTATCTCTTTTTTCTTTTATAAAGTTTTAGTCCAACTAAAAGAGGGGAAAAAAACCTCAATAAATCTCTTTTTATTATTATTATTAAGATGTTGGGAGGAGGGATTAGGTAGTCTGAAGTAGATTCATCTCCTTCAAATTTAGATAAATAAAAGTTGAGTGATTAAGTCAGAGTTCCTTGTCTCCATTTGTGACCAATAAAGGTAATATTTCTATTTTCCTAGTTTTTGTTCAGACAGAGAGTGCAGTTTAAAGAGCTGAAGTTTGAGGATCTCCGAGCTTTCTCCCCTTGCCGTGGTTTGGTTCACGTTGCAAGCTGAGGTCAGGCTACATGAGGTGGGTTCCTTTTGGATAAAAACAAAGAATGGGCTTGAAGGGGGCGCCTAATGCAGCTTGACCTGCAGTAGGTGTTCAGATCCCTGGACCAGAATAAATTTAATCCAGAGAAAACTATCCTGAAATGCGTGTACTGTAGACAGCAGGTGCACAGTACCAGTCCTTCTGATGCTCAAACCTGCTCTTGTTGCATCACATCCATCTCAACCATCTGTCCTAGAATGTGATAAAACATCCTCCTATTCCAATATATTTTAGAGGGGACCTGGCTGACTATCTTAAAATTAGACAACAAATTTTTAGGTGTTGAGAGCCAGGTGAGCCCATTCCTGTGCTTATTCTCCAGTACCAAAAGTACTGGTAGGAAAATCATGTATATGAAAATCAGTCAGGCATGGAGGATGTACATAGTGTACTTCAATTTACCTCGCTGTTTGAAAATCAAAAAGGACAAAAGTAAATCTATCCCAAGCCAATTAATGACAAGAGATTCAAGGTGTGAGGTGTCCTCGAGGAGGTCCAAAGTTGAGGAGAAATGCAATGAGCTTCCCCGTCTCCCTCTGCTACGAGGTCAAAAGCAGGCAGGGACAAATCACCTCATTAGTGAGAACCAAAGGACCCACATTACCTGCACACTTCATGAAGACAAGGATGTCTCTTTCTTTAATGAGCGTGTATGACCAAGCTTGTACTGGCACAGAAAGCCCTCCAGCAGGCCCTCCAGCAGGCCTGAGATCCATGCCCTTGCCATACGGGTGGTTACAGCTATTTCCATCACAAGTGACACTACTCCCCTTCCCAGAACAAGAAGTGGTCCTTGAGGACCAACCACCCTTCCAGGAGTCATCAGCTTAACAAGACCTTTCGGGGTTTACCAAGAAAGTTTCTTAATCACCATGAAAGCTTCTCAGCAGGTTTGTAGTCAACTTACCTCATTCTTCTTAACAAGCCATGAGAGACTAATTAGCAGGAGCTAACAAGAAAGAAACTTTCTTCCTTGTTAACGACAAAGTGCACTTCTACAGCTGTCTTGCTTGTCAGAGTCAGTCCAGGCTCCAAAGCCAATGAGTTGGAAGGTCAGTGTGTTGGCATGTGACTGTATTAATCATAGAATCATAGAATGGTTTGGGTTGGAAGGGACCTTAAAGATCATGTAGTTCCAAACCCCCTGCCATGGGCAGGGACACCTGCCACTAGACCAGTACAAAGCTCAAAGCCTCATCCAACCCGGCCTTGAACACTTCGAGGGATGGGGCAGTCACAGCTCCTCAGGGCAACCTGTTCCAGTGCCTCACCACCCTCAGAGGGAAGAATTTCTTCCTTATCTCTAATCTAAATACCCCCTCTTTCAGTTTAAAGCCATTGCCCCTTGTCCTATCACTACATACTCTTGCAAAAAGTCCCTCTCCAGCTTCCTTGTAGGGCCCTTTGGGTGCTGGAAGGCTGCTAGAAGGTTTCCCTGGAGCCTTCTCTTCTCCCAGCGAACAACCCTAACTCTCTCAGCCTGTCTTTGTGGGAGAGGTCTTCCAATGGCACTTCTCCAATGGCATAATGGCAATGTCCAATTAAGGACAGTTGTATGGGCCTGGATGGATGGAGAGCAACGCTCCTGGAGGTTTCTGTGATTAAAGTACCTGCCCATCATTCCTGAGGTTAAATTCTCACCCACAGGCTGCGGTCCTTCTTTCTCAATGGGATGATGCAGTAACCCAGCAGCACCCTGAGCTCCTTGCTGAGGAGGTATGGTGGTGTGCTTGGTAGGAGCACTGGTTGTTGTAGGAGCTTCTTCCATGCCAGTCTCAAGGCTGCTTGGGATCACTTCTAAATGTTTCTACCCCATATTTGTTCCTCGTCAGCCCTCTTTTCTTTCCTATTGCTCTACAGAGTTAGTTACATTACAGCTATTAAAGTTTGTTAGTTGTTCCCCTTATCTCACGATTTATTTTAAAGGGGAAATCACACAATTGCTCAAAACTAAGCAAAAGCAGTTCATAATAATATAACCAAAACAAGCTCAAAATGCCAGGATAGTGAGCAGGTACCTGACTAGTGGGTAATTTTACCATTACTCATAGGAAATGCCAGATGATAGTTCTCTGGTCCTTCAGTAAGTTGCAGGCACTGCAGGAGTTTCTCAAATAAATTTGAAAATACAGCTACAGTTGAGCTAAAATAAGTTGCAGCAAAGGCCTGACAGGCATTGGTGCCATGAACTGTTGTTATGAAACCCAGTTCCTATTGTGAGTACTGGGAGCACTAAATTATCTGAGTCTTGTGTTCACCAGAAATGTGTTCGTTATTCTATATGAAGAGAGTTCTGGTCATCATTGTCACACTGAAAGCAATAGGTGTTATTTATTGTCATAGTTCAAGACAATAGTGGTAATGCATTCTCAAACTACAAAGGGTCAGAAGGGCTTACATTTTTGAAATTAAAATAATATCAGGCTGTAAACACAAATAAAAGTAGCTAATGCATCCCTGAGACAGGTCAGTGAACAGTCTAATCCACAAGCAGTTAATGACTCAGTATTTAGGGTTTCCCAATACATTTGTCCCCAGAAGCTCACAGGAGAGCGCTACTTCTTTTATACCACAGCAGTACAGAAATGAAAAGTATAAACGTTTCTGAGAAGACTTCTCAATTCCTCTGACGCACTAGAGGAAACTATTATTCAGATGAATGTCTCCTCTGCATCACTCTCCGCAGAGCATCCTTCACCTCCATGTTCCTCAGGCTGTAGACGAGGGGGTTCAGCATGGGGGTCACCACAGTGTAAAACACAGAGGCCACTTTGTCGAGATCCTGGGAGTGCCTGGAGCTGGGTCGTAAGTACATGGACGCAGCAGATCCGTAGAAGAGGGTCACAGTGGTCAGGTGGGACGCGCATGTGGAGAAGGCTTTGCGTTTCCCCACTGCCGAGCGCATTCTTAGGATGGTGGACAGGATATAGGTGTAGGAGATGAGGATGATAAGGTTGGTGACAAACAGGTTGAAGCCAACCACAACGAACATTATAATCTCATTGATGGTGGGATCTGTGCAAGAGATGGCATAAAGCGGGGGTCCCTCACAGTAAAAGTGGTTGATGACTTTGGAACCACAGAAGGACAGTCGAAGTGCAAACCCTGTATGGATGGTGGCATTCACGATCCCAGCAAGGTATGAGCCAGCTACCAGCAGAGTACAAACTCTGCTGGACATGGAGATGGCATAGAGCAGTGGGGTGCAGATGGCCACGTACCGATCATACGCCATCACAGCCAAGAGGTAACACTCGGTGGTGGCAAACACAGCATAGCAATAAAATTGTGCAAGGCATGCGGAGTAAGAAATTACCTTCCTTTCTGCTAGGAGATCCGAGAGCAGTCTGAGGGTGATGGAGGAGGAATAGCAGATGTCTAGGAAGGACAGGCTGCTCAGGAAGAAGTACATGGGGGTGTGAAGCTGGGCATCCAGCCTGATTAACATGAGCATCCCCAGGTTCCCTAGCAGAGTGATCACGTAGATCACCAAGAAGACCATGAAGAGGACAGCCTGGACATTCCCATGCTCTGAGAACCCCAAGAGAACAAATTCAGGGGTGGGTGTGCGATTCCATTTGGCCGTTGCCAGAACAGAGCTGCTGTAAGAAAGCAGAGATGCAGAGAAACATGGAATCATGATATTCTTGTTTGTGTGAAAACAGGCTACCGTCTAAAGTCCTTCTCTTGCAACAGATCAACTCCTTGTAGTGTTATTTAGGCTAAAACTCACCTGTTTACTCACATCTTGGTTTTTGTTTTATCAGAGACTTGTTATCTCCTAGACCAAAATTTCATCTGAGAAATAAGCCCAAATTTCTCCTGGTGGTGGTGCTAAAAGCAAGAATGATTCGCCAGTCATGAAGGACATCAACACTTGACCAAGAAAAGCCGCTGTTTATAAGCTTCTCTCATTGAAAGACCAAGGGTTTTGCCACTGCCCTCCCCACAGTGTCGTGCAGGAAAATCCTCTTGGGAATTGATGACTTTGGAAACAGCTCCTTAAGGAGGAGACATGCACTGATAAACAAACACAAGTAGTTTCAGCAAGTTAAATGTAAGCTTGGGTGTTTTCCCCATTTCTTTACATATATATAAAGAATTTTGTATACATATATATATAAATTTATCTATTGGAATATAGAATTTCTCTCTTGGAATCACAGAGCTAAAAAGAGCTGGTGTAAGAAATAGAGATTCAAGGATTAGGAGCTAGCTCGGGGTTTGGAGAAGTGTTGCAAATGCTGTTGAAGAGGAAGGAAAAACTGTTCAGAAACTCTGCTGCTGCAATTTTTTTAACGTTATCTGGCATATCCTGTGGTTTACAAACCAAAAGGGTTGGATCCAGGCATCTGTGAGAGTCACAGCCAGGATTATGGAGAAAAGTTTCTCTTTCATTGCTCTTAAAAGAACAAAGTGGTACCAGTATCTGTAATTAGACCTAGGGAATTATTTCCTATCCATCCATGGAAAATATAAACCTTTCTTCAAGAAGTTAATGTCTGGTATTAGTGACCTTTATCTCAAAGCGAGAACACAGCTTGGACACCATCTTCATCCATTTTGCTTTTCTGTTCTTTCCAGAAAGCGTTTTGTGAATGCTTAGCATCCATGCTCAGCTGAATTACAAATTATTGGTTAAAAGCTAATTTCACCTTCTCTCTTTTGAAGAGGGTTTTTGAAGGACTCCAAAACATTAGCATGGTGAGCTGAAGCTTTCCCCTTATAGAACAGAATATACTTAATTTAATTAGTATTAGTTAATTTATGCTTAAATTTAGTTAATTTATGCTTAAATTCACTCTTCAGACTATGCCCTGAGTGTGACTGCTCTGTACAAAAGCCCACATTGGCCATGTAGCCATGACAGCCCATCACCCTTCACTACCAAGCAGCAAGTGGAGAAAATCTGGCATTTTTTCCAGAAAAACTCATCTCGCCCTGATGTGGTCATTTAAAATAGGTTGGATGAATCAAAGCCCCCAAATGCAGAGTTGTCTCCAGAAGGGGAACCGATGGTGGCTGATTCAGCTGTGAAAGCCTACAATTAGATAAGATGACTCCTGGACCGAAATGATTCAACCTCTGAAACCTGGAAGCAGAAATTATTAATAAGCTGCAACCGGGATGGAAAATAAACTTTGCCTGGATGGAGACACATAAATAGGAGAGGAGGTGGAGGGAGAGTCTTGGCCAGCATTGAGAGTCTTGGGGCCATCAAAGAGTCAGGCACATCTGAATTCAACATATGGCCAGAAGCATGGAGGCTTCCTGCATTGTCAACACCAGATGACATCCTGGGAAAAGCCAGGACTGCTCAGACAATGTCTTTGAAAGACTCTTCCTGGCCGAAGTGAGAGACTGCTTGTCACTGGGGACAAAACTCCACTCTGCTCCTAGGCAAAGGAGCGTGTCATTGTGGTGAATCCAGGCTGGTAGATGTCCACGGCAGGGACCCATCCAGGAAAGCAAGATGTCTGGGACAGGTGGTCTGCACACAATGCATATGAAGAGTGGGATGCACTATTTCCCATAAAAACTACCTTTGGACAAACCAGAGAAAATAGTACATCAGGTTTATTATACTAAAGCAAAATCTTAGGCAACTACTTAAAAAATCTGAAAACAGAGTTATGAAAGACATTGTCCCTCTCCAACATATGGTCTTTATTTAGCTTGTCCCCTTCTGCTCTGAGCCGCCTCTCTCAGGCCACAGAATTAAATATTGTCATAACATTGAGTAAATCCTCTTTGGTTAAAAGTATCAACCATGCATGTTCTAGAGTTGCTTATATGTTCATTTACTCCAAAAGTCTCACTGAAAATGTACGTGGTTTTAGAGTTGTCTGTCTTTCCTGCATCCCTTCCTTTTTTCAGACATTGTAATTACAAGTAATTTATTTTTCAAGGGACCCTAATATGGAATTAATTCATAATTCATACTTTATGGTGTTCATCATGAGGTAGTGCACATACATCTCATCAAACACATAGAAATGGACAGTGTCCTTCTATCAGGCATCAGCTTTATTTCTTCTGCTCACTCTGTTGTGACAGGTCATATCTGCTTTGGCTCAGTTAGAGCATGACCTGTGGGGATACATGCAGAAGAGGACCTTGTTCATAGCTCTTCTGAGGGTGCTTCTCACCTCCTTGTTCCTCAGGCTGTAGATGAAAGGATTGAGCATAGGAGTCACCCCGGTGTAGAAGATGGAAGCTGTTTTCCCTTGATCTTCTCCTTGTCTGGAAAAGGGACAGAAATACAAGAAAGCCGCAGAGCCGTAGAAGAGGGCAACAGCCATGAGGTGGGAGGTGCAGGTGGAGAAGGCTTTGTGCCTGCCCTTAGCAGAGCAGATGTTCCAGGTAGTGAGCAGGATGCAGGTGTAGGAGACAATGATGGCCAGGAGTGAGGTCGTTATGATGAAGCCAATACACGTGGCCATCATCACCTTGTTGAGCCAGGTGTCAGAGCACGAGAGTAGCAGGAGCGGTGGGATTTCACAGTAGAAATGATTGATAAGGTTTGGGCCGCAGAAAGAGAGTCGGAGGAGAGCACTGGTGTGCACGAGGGCATTCAGGCTTCCAGCAGCATAGGAGCCCACCACCAGCTGAACACAGACCCCATGGGACATGACAGCCAAGTAGCGCAGAGGCTCACAGATGGCCACGTAGCGATCATATGCCATGACAGCCAGAAGGATGGCTTCTGCGGTGCCGAATACTGCAAAGAAGAAAAATTGTGTGATGCAGCCATTGAAAGATATTATATTTCTCTCTGCAAGGAGGCCCGACAGGAGCTTTGGCATGATGGATGAAGAACAGCAAATGTCCAGGAAAGAGAGGTGGCCGAGGAAGAAGTACATGGGCATGTGAAGCTGAGAGTTTGTCTTGATAAGGACCATCATCCCCAGGTTCCCCACCAGCGTGGTGACGTAGACAAGTAAAAAAATCACAAAGAGCAGCTGCTGTGGGTCTGTGAAGCCCAAGAGGACGAACTCAGTCACCCTCGAGTGGTTCGCCCCAGCCATTCTCCTGGCACCAAGACAAAGACAGATAGGGAACAGGTGAAATATTTTCCCCCAGCTCACAGGAATATGTAGTGCCTGAGGCTAACGCAGAATTTGATGTTTCCTGTATGAATACACCCACTTATTTGGAGAAAAAAATACAATAGTTACCCTCAGTGGGCAGGCTGAAGATCCAAAGTAATATATTGAAAAATAATATATTGACAAAATAATAGCCAATAGATCACAATACGGGAAAAAATCTTAAAGCTTAAATCTTAAAAAGATCTGACTGGCACAATATGGAAAGAATTGGTTCTGCAAAAGATTTTGTAGATGATATCTTCTCATGAACATCCAAATTCTTTCCAATATGTGGGCATGTTTGGCAAGATTTCTTTCCCTTTGTTGGGGTGAATGTTCTTATTTAGTGGGAAGTAAATGCGATACTACTGTGCCTTAATTCGCTGCATTAACTAGTATTGCATTAAACAAATAACAGACCATGCTGGAGTGATTTTCTGACTCTGTAGAGATATATTTGGGTCAATTAAAATGAGACTAGCATACCTGATTGCAATTTCATGCATGTATAGCTTCAAGAGAAAACTACCCCCTTCTAATGTGAATTATACTTGCATGTCATCTTGCAGGTATCCATTCCCTTGCGCCTCCTGGGTCTGTTAATATCAGGAAATTTTATCCAAAATTTGAGTTAGAAATTAGGATTCTGACACACTGGGGTATGTGGTTTTTCCTTCAGGAGGGACCTGAATAACTTCAATATTGCTTCTTGGCAGGGCTGCTGCTTCTTCAGGGAGTGGACACACTGATTGAGGAAGCTCTACCCCGTCCAGTAAAAAATTGTCTCAAAATGTCACCTTCTCTCTAGTCAATGGTATCTCAAGACATTCTCAGAAAGATACTCACTGGTCCTTGAGCTGAAGTTAAAACACGAGCTCCGTCGGTCTTTCCGAAACCAGGTAGGTAACCATACGGCAGCCTCTGATGTGGCTGGAAGATTTAAGTTTTATCCTGTGCCCACAGGACAAATTAGTGAAGGGTCTCTGGGCACCTGCCAACAGAGCGAGCCTTCTCCAAAGGGCCTGGGATAAACACAGAGATTTCTCTCTGAGGTTTCCATTTTGGGGATGAGATCCCCAAGGCGCATTAGAAATGACACCTGCAGAGCCTCAGCAATTCATCTTGTGTACACAGCTTCGTCATGAGGAGTAGAACACCAGGCAACGTATTTTTCCTTAAGACTGGAAAGACTTTTTTTATTCTCCAGGAACATGGGAGAAAAAAACATAACTCTAAATAATTAATTAATTAAAGGAAATTATTGTTTTATATATTCAATGGTCAGATTAATTTTCTTTTGTACCAGATATTCACATAAAGAAAAAAAGAAAAAGTGGATCAAAACACAGATGTCAATTTGCCATCATCTTGTCGTTTTCTTTTTTTGAGATAACTTGTCATTTTCCTTTTATCCATGAATATGTTTTTGTGCCATTGCTTCCCAGGAGGAAGAGTCTCATCCTATAAGCAGCATTTGCATGGAAGGCTGTCTCCAAGGGTAGGACACATCACCCAAGCGTGTGTTGGGATGGTGAACTCAGACTCAGGTAGCTCTCTTCTAGACATTTGCAATTAGGTGCATGAATTTCACTCAATACTTTGTTTTCTTCTCTTTTTTTCTTCTTCCCCCCCCCGCTACCCACCTGCTGGTCACACACCTTGGTGTTCCCTATCACTATAATTTTAATTGATATATTTTTCTTCCTCTGTTCTTATTTATGTGGTTTTTTTTTTAAAAAAAGGAGATGAATGCTTCTTATGTTGCCCTCTAGAGATGACCTTAAAACACATGCATTGCCTCTTTGAGAAGCGAGTATTACTATGTCTTCCCTTCCCACTTCCCTCTTTCTATCAGCCTTGATAGATCAGTCTGCTTTCTAGCACCAGCAAGATGACCATTTCTTCAGGACAATTCCTCTTCTCCCATCACCCACCTCAAAGCAGCATTTACTTTCCCATTCCTCAGGCTGTGGGTCAGAGGTTCATGACAGAAAGTCCCTTGACCCACTGCCAACACTCTTCCTGGGGTGCTGGCAGGCGTCTTTGATGCAAGGACATATTGATGACTCATCTTCCACTTGATAGCCACCACAGCCTCCATCTCCTTCCCTGCTAAGCTGCTCACCAGCCTGTCCTGGTGCCTGGGGCAATTCTTCCCCATGGCCATTACTCAGCATTTTCCCTTTTTGAAGTTTGTATGTTTCCCATCTGCCAATTTTGGACAAAAAAGCTCCTTTTGAAAAGCCATTTTGTATCGTATGCTTCAAAATTAAAATATCCCCTGGACAGATGATTACAGACTGGAAAGCAGAATATTTACAACAGCTGAGGATGAAACTCGGTTTTCTGCAGTATCAGATGTGTAATTTCCAAACCTCTAATTTCTTGTGCCCAAGGCGGGGGGACAGAAAATGTCTCGTACTTTCTGATTATGGTCTTGTGGGAGAGTCAAACTCGTTTTAGCCAGTTTTTATCTTTGTTTCCTCCCCAGGCAATGGTACAGGGGCATCACTCTGTGGTGATGGAGTTCTCTCTTGTTTGGTTCACTCACTGCCAAGACCTGCAGGTCCTCCTCCTCGCGGTGCTCCTCATGGTGTACGTTATCAACCTAGAAGTTGACATCAAGTCTAGAAGAAATAAGGGGCACCAAAATGTGGATGAACCCAGCATTGTGGTATGTTCTCAGTTTTGGAGGAATAGAAGTGAAAGAGAAAGTACTAAATACCGAATAAAACTGAAGAACTGCTCTTGCTGCTCTCCATTACCAAGACAACTTTATTCACTCCACCCCATCCAGAGGTTTAAAGCCAAGGAGGTCCATTGCTCTTTCAAGGCAATCGCTGTGCAAAGCTCCTCCCGTAGCACTCCATATTGCTGCTGCTGCTGCTGCAGAATTTCCCTGATTTATTCAATCATGAGGAACTGGAAGCCATGAGACATGAGATTAATCATCAGAGGAAATATTTATTTATGTATTTATTTTTAACACTGATTCTACCCATGATTTATGAAGGCTGGAAGGTGGAAGGCTTATGAGTGGTCCAACTATCAGCAGATGAAGCACGCGCCATGCAATGCAGAACACGGTCCACATGCCTTAAACTCTTCTAGGTCCACATGAGCACTCCTGTGCAGGCCAGAGAGAAAACAGAGGAGAAAGCACAATTAAACAAGCAAATATTTAGAACTAATCTGTCTGTATTTTGTTACTACGGGAAAAAAAAAATAAGACTTTAGCGTTTCTGTTTTCTTCTTTTCAGAAAAAAAATGATTGGCTGTTTCATCATAAACCACCAGTGAATGCTGCTGCCAAGAGTATCAGGAAGCGAGATGTCTGGTGCTCGTGGAAGGAAGAGAAACCGATAGTGTGGCTTGTGCCTCGGAGAAACGAGAGGTTGATTGCATGGGGTGTTCTGCTAAATCGCTTTTACATCTTTAAATGGGTTCAGAAGATCCAGCTGCAGTCGTTTACACCTGTCTTGGGCAGGGGGAAGGAGGCAGCTTCTGCGTCCCATTGCTAAGATCTCTCGCATTGGTTGGCCATCTTCTCGTCCTCTCTAATTTCCTTCTTAGCCTGAGACTGGATTTGTGGAACCGAGCATAGACATCTAAAACACACATATTACATCCAACAACATCCAAACCAGCCATTCTTAGTGTCTGCAGAGTGTAGAACATCAGCCGTCTCATCTCAAATACCACATTTTCTCCGGGGTGTCTGCCTCAGGCACACATGATGACGCTGCAGATGTCTAAAGCCTGTGATTAGTCCTGCCCCATGTGTCTCTTTGTCCTTGCTCAACCCAACCTTCCCCTTCTCGCTTTTCCCCTTTCTCAAGATGCAGAAAATGCCAATTTATCTTTCTTGGGTTCAAAATGTCTTTCTGAGCCATGAAGGGTGGTAAAGGAACAGAGAGGAACTCACCGGAGTTTGAATGGAGTCTCCTTGCTTCATCCACCAGGACCTCAGGAGGATTTTTTGCTCCAGGGCAGTAACTGTGTCTAAAACGAGCCATTATAATATCTCTCAATTCAGTTTTGAAAAGAAGAGGGAGATACCTTGGCCATTGATTTTAAAGGGATTAATGCCAAACCGAGACTCTTTCGTTTCTATACTAGGGGAAGCTGAAGGCAGCTTGGTTTCAGGTAGCCTGGAGAGAAGAGGGTTGTGCACCATGTTCCTGGTTCTTCCCATACATCTGGATGTCATGCAGTGGAGAGGAATCACCACCCCAGTGCAGGATTTACACATTTGAAGCCCAAGTCTTCAAATCCTTTTTAATCGAAGGAAAAAAAAAAAAATTACATTTCTCTGTTTCTGTGCCTTTTTTACCCACCAGCTAGAGAAGACATAGCTGTAGTGGCAACCTTACCCTCTTTTAGATTCAGCTCATATTAACGCCCAAATCTGGGTGTCTATCATTACCTGTTTGTGAGCAAAGGTCTTGTTACAGCTAACACAACTCTGGCTGATGCAATTAGCAGTTTATCAATCTCTTCATCTGACAAAATGTAGGCGTCTGCCTTGCAGTGAGCCACCCAGACCCCACCGATGCAACCCCACCTTGGTCATAAAGGGAGCCCACGTATCCAGTCAATGCGTATTGGTGACATGGTGTTTATTTAAAGTTAAGGACATAAGTCCTTCCCCTAAAGACATTTGAGGTGATTCCCAACTCTAATCACCAAGTATCTAAAGAAGGGGAGGTGGTGGCCTCCCCCCCCTGCCATAGCCATATTTGCTCAGCCCTCTGTTTAAAACTGATTTAATCAGAATTAAGGAAGCTCTACCTAAAAGCTCAAGCCTAGCTGGCTCCAGCTAAACTCTGAGATGCAGCCTGTGCTTTCTGCAGGGGATTCAGAGGACAATTTCAGGCTCAAAACCCCAAACTCATAGTAACTACGGTGTTAAACCACTGTTTTGATCACCTCATTTC